AATGAGTATTGAAAGATTTATTAATATCATAATTTAAGTTGTCTACTTTAGCACAATATGCTACATTTTTTTCTTAAATAAGGAAACATTATAACTTTCTCGTTAAATAAATATGTGAAAATATATCTCAATTATCTATTTATATGGTGCATTATAAACATTAATAAATGCAATATTTAAAATAAATTGAGTGCAATACTGCGATGGCCAAAAAAAAATTGAATACTTCAAATATCACTAAAATAAATTTCATGTGGCCTCAAGATATGTTCTATATGCTGAAAAGTCTTCTATGCATTTTTTTTTATTGGTACATTGGAGGAAAAGTCTTCTATGTTATCCAAATTCCAAAGGGAACCGGCAATGGAGAAATTCGATGTTTTTTATAAACGGGGAATATTTATCTTTTTTTATTTACTATATCTTTTAATAATTAATTTTAAATTTAATTTTGTTTAAATATCAATAATATCAATAGAGGAATGCACATCTTTAAGGAATCACCAACTAAAATTATTTCATTGATGGGATCTAATATGTTAGGTGTCAGTAAGTATAGGGTCATTACATCAATTCAGTGAGCCTTTACTGCCATTATACCCAAAATATATAGAGGGATGAAATTTTTAAAAAAAAAAAAAAATTTGAGAATCATCGAAATATAACGGATAATTTATTCCTTTTGATCCCTTCAAGTTTTTTTAATTAATTAATCCTTAAAATTTCTCCTAAGTTTTGTCTCTTGTTGCAGATTGTTTTACAGCTTAAAACTTCCCAATAAAGGGGTGTGTGCATGCAGGTACACTGGGCATCCCCATGATCATATCCTGAATCCAATTTTTTATGCTGGAAAAAAGCGAAGCAGCGAAGGTACTTGCTTCTTTCCTTTTTTTTGGCCTTTTTTGTTTCTCTATCTACTATTTTCTTGTATTCCCACTCAGCAAGTAGAATTTATCTCCCCTTTATTTGGAATTTGAGGTCCCATCTACAAGGAAAAAGAAAGACAATTACTGAAGACCCCATTGCCTGCTATTATTGACCCTGAAAATGCAAAAAAGACAAAATATGCAGACTCTTTCCTCCTGGTTTTTTCCATCCAATTTCATGAGTTTTTTTTTTTTTTCTTGGTCATAGATTTTTTAATTTCATGGTACCTATAAAATTGATTTTGTTTTGTTTTTCTTCAATAGGGTTATGATGGTCATTGCAGGGACAGAATGAATATAGGAGTACAACAAAGCCGTTGATTCCGTCAAGATGCGGTTTGCCTTAAAAAATATGGGCCCTACAAATAATCAACACGCGGTTTGCTTTAGATGAATTGAATATTCAAAAATATGGGCCCTACAAATAATATTGTCTTGAGATACAATTAAGGTAAAAACCCTTCTTAAACCCTTCAACTGTTTTCGACAGTAAGTGACAAGCCCCTGAACTAAAAAAGTGACAAATAAGCCTTACAACCTCACGGTGGGTGCAAAACAGCCCCTCCGCTAACTAACTTCGTCACGTCGTTTGTCATCCGCTTCCGTGGCATTGCACCTGCA